GCTATCTGCATYTCAACGCGTAATTTCCAGGTGCTTCTTGAGAAAGTTGCTAATTTAAATTCAATTGGGAGCCTTAAGTGATTGCTTTTGTTGTATTGACTTGAGAGGATTTTTATTTTAAGTATACTCAAAAATAATTAGGATGTGTGTGTTTGCTGCAGATGAGGTTTGTGGTAGTCAACATCTTCCCCAAGCTGCAAATATTAAGGTGTTCCCGAGGRTGTTAAGACGTAGATTGTCAGCTTTGTGCACTAGTATTGCTCATGTACAAGAAGGGGCCTGGGAAAGCCATTTATAATACGCTGAAGGCTGCAAAAGTGATGGCTGTTTCTTGAATTTGTTTTGAATTGCTCACAAAAGATAACTTGAGTTTTGTGGGTCATTACAGTCCATCAGGAGACGAAGGGGAAAAAAAGAGATTAATGGTTTTGAGAGATGTATTAATTGAGCATTTTCAGGTCCTAGCAGAATYTGAGTTGCTTTTGTATTGATTTTCTGTAGTTTTCGGAAGCCACGTGACTGTTTTCAGTCTTGCTAAACCTGCCCGTGCAGGTGGGAGCCAGGAGGGAATCATCTTTGTGGCATCGTTTGGTTTTAAAATCGCATCTTGTTCTGGGTACATAATAAATATTCAAGCAATGTGTGTAATGCTGTGTTTTTCTGGAGCTGCGTTGGTTTCTCGGCCCGATTTCTAACCCTCAACGCGGCGTCTCCACCAGCTGGCTTTTTGGAGCTCTTCCATCCTGCACAGCGCTCAGGTCCTGCTCCGCTCACAAAGGCAGCAGCAGTTGTTGGCTGGGATGTTTGTAGTCAGTGCGTGTGGCAACGTGGGTCCTGCCCRTGGGGAATCGTAAAAGCCCCACGAGTCGCCCGTGTGGGATGCGCAGGGAGCAGCTGTGGTGCTTTTAACTTGGTTTTAAGGCTTTCCTGTCTGTGTTGGCTGGAATTGCCTGGGTACAGGGGTGAGCTGARCTCAGCCTTGTGCAAAACTGACAGGTCTAAGAAAAGCTACTGAGCCAAAAAGATTTTTAAGAAGTGAATTAGAAGTAAAATGGAGCACAAAAATGATATGAACATTGATTGTGATTTACTACATGTGAGTCCTACTTAGGACTTTGGATTAGGCAAGGCTCTGGTGTCTGGGCAGGCCCTTTTGGAGCCTCCCGTGCCTGGTTTTGGTGCCACCGCTGAGGACGGACTGTCGGAGACCTCCGAGGTGTCCTCGGTGTGGAGCGCTCGAGAGGGCTGGGCAGCCTTTGGAAGAAGTCAGTGGAAGCAGAGCAGCTTTGTCTTCTTAAGGGTCTCCTAATGGTCCAAACTCCACCTTTAAAACAAGATTTTAATTTTTTTTTTTTTTTAAACTGGAGGACAGTGAAAAGTACGCTCTAACTTATACCAAAAGAAGTCAGTTGTAGCTTTATTTGCACTAGAAAAATGCCCCTTTTTTGTGACTGCTACTTTCTCTTTCTAGATGTTCCCAGTGTCTCGCTGGCCGTTTTACAACGTAATGCCTTCAAAGCTCCCAGAAAGGGGAGATCAGCCTGGTTATATGACTAGTTGACACTGTTGCATAAAAATCTCTGAATTTGGGCACTTGGACTTTGCATTTTGGGAGTTCAAGGCTTTCTGCCTCCGTCTTGTTCTAGTAGCTTAGATTTTCGTTTATRTCAATAATAATGCTCAAACACCTGAGCGAACTCGTTGGGATGTGACTGAGGGAGGACTGAACAAGATGAGTCTGAAAGAACTACTGGTTTCCCATCCCATTATCCTGCTTTTTCTGGTTTAGTTTCTTCGCTTTTCCAAGGTGAGAAAGTGACCTAGAGGTCTGGCAAGCTGCTTACGCTGAGACCTCCATGCGTGTTGATCTTCATAAAATGCAGCCCAGGAGCGAGTATCGAAGGAGACGTAGAAGCCTTGGAGCAGCCGTAGGAGCGACTCATCTCTTCCCACTACCCTCCTTGCATTGAAAAGGCTGTAGGCGACTTGGAGATCCCAGTGCTTGGAAGTCGGGGCCAGATTTGGATCCGCGTAGCGGTTGGGAAGGAGGCGGCTGTAATTCTCCTCTGCCTCGTGGCTGTGAAGATGCTCTGAAAAGGATCTGCCTTCCTGGTGGCGCCCGTGTGTCCTTYGCACCGCGTCTTTGCCGGCAGCTCCTCTGGGCAGTAGCCAGCCTGTCTCGGAGGGGACAAGTTATTGTGTGAATCGTGTAAGGTCATTAAGCTCCCACTGATAAATGGGCTTGAATTCATTTCATGTGCATTGACTAAGAGCCATTTACTGGCATCCRTTTCCCACAGCTATTTTGTTTGAATTATTTCGGAGAATGCAAKGGCTCTGTTACGTTTAATCTTGGACAACACAGCATTTGTTGGACCAAAAGGCTAAAGTATTTACAGCCCAAATAAGGGAGGATGAGGGTCTAAAGCCTTGCATGGGGACGGCTTCTCTTAGGAGTCCGTTTTTCAAATGGCAGATTAGTAACTCGGCGGCGAAATGCGTGAAGGCTCCAAAGCTTGGCCAGGAGCTTCATGCAAAGATGGAGCAGTGGGAAAGTGGAGGAAGAAGGCAAGGCCGCGTGACGTGCGGGGAGCCAAAGTGTGCATCATCACAACAACAAAATACCTAGGACCCAAGCAYGTTGGCCGCTGCCGATGAAATGCAAGGGGCAAACTGAACAGTGTGAGCGGTGCWGAAGTGCTCCGACACGAGAGGCTTGTCCTTGCTTCCTATCTAAGTGGTGAAATCCCCTGAGCTTCCCTGTGCTCGCAGGTGGAGCACGTGGTGTTGGAGCGAGTGCTGTGGCTCGGTGTGGTGCACGCAGCGAGCYGTGATCCTCACGTGGTCGCTGCTCGCTGCTCTGCCGTTGCGGGCCGGAGTCGAGCCGCCCTGCCGGCAGTGCAGCCGGGAGACACGGCTTGTTCTGCCCGGGAGGTGGGCGGCCCGGCCACGCAGCTCTGCGGTGGAGGAGCAGAGCGTTAGAGGGAGTGGGGCGCTCTGCTCGGCACTGGAATCCTTCTCGGCCATAGGTGGGAACTTTGGCTGATTTTGCCATATTTCCAGAATAACCACCTGGAGAAAGGAAATTTGGGACTCTGGTTGCTTTGGGTTGAATATTTCTGATAGCTTTATGCAGCTTTTACTTAATGCTCTGGTATCCATTTTGTCGTGATTGAATTCTGCTCTCTGCTTTTTCCCTCTCTAAAGAGGGCAAACATCACTGAAATCTGCAGAAGATACTGATCCAATTCATATTAAAATGTCGTCTTCGCTTAAGGCTCACGTTTGCCAAAAATGCAGTTTATTCTCAACAGATTCAGTGGTTGGGTTTAATTAACGCTAGAGTTAAATGTTAAAGATTTTTTTCTCCCTCTGATTCATTGTCTTAAGATGCAGCAAACCAGAAATTCGAAATGTGTCAACTCAGGGTGCCAGGTTGAAGGACTGGCAAACAAGAAAAGCAGATCGAATCCCCTCCCCACTTCCTACCCGGGAGGCTCCGGGCAGAGGGCGTCCACAGGATCCCTGCTCCGAATGGCCTGTGACTCCCTGGAAAGGGAGGGGGGCGGACAACTTGGCATCACTTTAACGAGCTATTGATAGTGGCTTTAGAAACAGAGCTGTTTCTCTCCTTCCCCACAGGCACCGTTAATGCAAACACGCTTGTACATTTGCCCTCCCTATGCCAGGTAACTTTCTGTGCTGTTTTCCCCAGCGCGGGCTGCTTTGCGGAGTGAGGAAGCGTTTCCTTTGCCGTGTAGGCCTCGCTGGACAGGGAGCAGCCCCGCGCCGCGTGCTGGTCTCGGTTACCGCCATGCCTGTGAGTGGCCAAGCCCAGGACAGTCCCGTTCCTCGCGGCGAGCATGCCCAGGCGCAGCCTCCAAGGGCGAAACCGCGGTGCGTGGGAAAACGCCGCGAGTTCCTGGTGTCCGGTTGTGCACCCAGTAGTGGGCTGCTCTGGTGCTTGTGGCACGGGTACAGGCGGAAACCGCCGGGTGTTGGATGCTCCGTACGGAGCTGGCAGGATTCCGGTGGTGCTACCGGACCTGGGAAGAGGGCAGCGAGTGCCAGCCCAGGCCCCTCTGTGTTTCACAGTGCCTGGAGCGTGGGATTCCTCGCGCAGAAGGTCCCAGGGTTTCCCGAGTGCTATTTCCAATATGATGGCAGGTGGGTGGTAGGGAATCCTCCAGAGCCGGCGCTGTKTGAGGCGCAGGGTGCAGCGGGCACCGCGCCGAGCCGCCTTTCCGGGGTCTTGGTAAGGAGCAGCACGTCAGGCTTGCGCATCCCGCGGCGTGCAGGGAGGCCRGCTGCCTGGCTCCGGGGTGCCGCGCGGCGCTTCCTTGGCTCCCTGAGCATCCTCTTCCTCCCTGGCGTCCCCGTGCGCCCACATGCCCCGGCCTCCCGCGGCCTCTGCCTCCCCTGCCGTGCGAGTGACAGTGAGCGTGGCTCGGGTGGAGCTGCCTGTTCCGCCGTGCGGGCGCCGGGGAAGGGGCGCCCCGGGGTGCTCCCACGGGCCCTGCTGTGCAAAGCCGTGCGGCCGCGAGCAGGGGAAGCGGCTCGCAAAGCCAGGACCACCCCAGGCCTCCTCGCGCTGCTGCCCTCGGCACCTCCGGAATTTTTGCCCTGTGTGGGTTTGACCCCTACTGGTGACTTAATGTTTTTGTATCCTTCCTTTTCTCTTTCTGTCTTTATTTTTGAAGGCGTTGGCCTCAATTTTGGTGGTTTGACTGACTTCCACAGTTTATGGTGATCATTGGATTAGCATAGTTAGATTTCAGAGTTGTTATTTTATATGTATATATATGTGTTTTCTGAGCAAATATATTTTCTGAGCTTAGTCTGTTTTTAATAAGTTCGTTTGTTTTGCTTGCTAAATATATACAAGCTCACACATGTTTACAAGCTTCGTAAATCTTAAAACTAGATTCCTGGAGACATTTTCTCTGCAGTGCACTAACGGAGACAGCAGCGAGCTAACTGTATTTCCCCTTCTTTTCCAGGGAAATCACTTTGATCAGTATGAAGAAGGGCACCTGGAGATTGAGCAGGCATCTCTAGACAAGCCTATAGAATCGGTAAGATATGGAATTATCATTGTCATCAATGCACCAAAACTTAGGCCATGATCGGATGCTACTTGATGTGAATGCAGGGRTAGGAGCGGGCGCCTTCTCGCAAGTGGTGGAAGGGGACTCATTTTTGTAGTGTAACTGCATGCCCTCCTTTAATGCTAAGTGGGCTGGGGACTCGCTCTTTAACTAGTTCTRCTGCAATTGTAGGAACTCTACATTCAGCTTGATATTTCAGACGTTACTTAAAATAATACATTCACTTAGAGAATTTGTTTTGTTAAGTTTTTAATACTTTCTATTTAAGAATTAGTTTAATGCTTGGGGGAACCTAATGGAATAGTGTAGTAAAATATAGGAAAATATCTTTCGGTCCTTTTCTTAGTACATATTTTTGTATAGTTACTGGAGGATTAAGCACATTAGAATGGTATTTGGCCCTAGGGACACGCTGCTGAGTTACAGTGTTAGTATAGCAGCCCTTCCCCTAGAATCTGAATCTCTGCTCTGAATTTCTTTAAAATACTGTTTTACYTTGAATTCAGCATGGAGAATGCAGCTGTAAGATGGGGAAATAAATAAGTTTTGTTTAGCTGGATTTTTTTTAAGCTTTTTGGAGCTTTTTAATTTTTCTGTCTGCAAAGCATCTTTTKCTAGTTTTAAACATAACAACTTGTTCTGCCTAAATGTCACCTACAAGATTGGCCCTTAGTTTTAGCTTTTCAATGTTAATACTACTTTGCCGTCCCAATACGAGAGCGGTAAAACTGGTAGCGAAAAGTGAAGGGTCTCTCGGTGGTCTCATTCAGACGAGCTGCTTGTTAAGCAGCTGTTTCCTTTCTCTGCGCCCATCTGAGTTCTCCGTTAAGTTGCCTCACGTTAGCGTGCGCTTAGAAGAGACTTAGTGTTAGCGATAGAGCAGTAGCTATCTTCATTCGTGTGTAGGTTGGTGTTGTGTGTGTTTGTGTGCGTGTTTAGATGTTTACCAAAAATTTACACAACTTGGGGTGTTCGACGTTTTTCTTCCGCAGCAGTTGGCCCATATTAGCTAAGCAGCCATGATCTGGTTTGTATTGCACGGTCTGCCTTTTTTAATTTCTTCTCTAGGGTTTCCTTTCCCCCTTCTTATTTCTGTTCTTCTGGTCCAGTGAACACTGCATATAGTACCTACTGTCTTAATGTGCTGGCATGATGCTAGATTTAGGCATGGCAGTAAGTGATGACGCATGAGATAATGCTGCAGAGATGGGAATTGGGATTCGATGGCCTCCCGAACGTATCGATCGCATTGTGATACGGAGCTCAGAATTCAAAAGCCAAGTCGGTTTCCTTATGGAAATATAAGGAGAAAARCTTGTTGGCATCCTAGCCGGGGCCACAGTGGAAATGAGCAGTCACAAAATAATTCAAATGTGACCCACAGCCTAGGCTGAATGGGTGATTTCTAAAAGGCTCTTCCCAACCAGAGGAATAAAAATGATTGTGGATGAGTGTTACTTTAGGAGACTAAATCTCTTTGGTGTTTGGAGGAAGCGAGGCATGCACAGTAACGTAAAATGTGACAGAATACCCAGCATCCAGCAGCAGGAGCACGCAGACGCACRTGGAGTCTCTGCAAATGTCCTGTTTTGTTGTGGTTTGATTAATGCTGAGCTGCAGCAGAAATTCTAAATCAAATTGGGGTTTTAGTGTATTATTCATACATGTATCATAATCCAAATGTAGTGACATTATCAATCTTTACAACTTTATGGTGGGTTTTAACATGCAGATCTGCAGTTCAGCCTTGAGGTTAGAGCTTGAAAAACTTTTGATGGAGAGGATAAATGAATGCCTTACCCCTTTGGGAGGAGGAAGAGCTGAAATCAAGTTCTTCTTGGTTTCAAAGCCAAGTTTTTTCGTTTGTCTGTAGTGAGAGAAGCGAGAAGTTGAGGTATAAAACTCCCCAGCAGGGACATTGAACCCTTGGAAAGAGCCCCAGGACCCGATGTGTGCGTTAGGGTTTTTGCACTGTCAAATCGACTGTGCTGTGTTGAGGATTTTTGGAACAAAATCTATACTTGGGAAACATAAATAATTTGTCAAATTTCTTGACTATAGCGATAATGATTTTGTTCCAAGAGTATTAATGAAATACACTTTTTTTTTTTCTCTAATTGGCAAATCAAGAACATTTGAGAGTGGCTTTTTTTGCCCCCTTGGTTACCTTTCCTGGACGGTCTTTCTCCTGCTCTGGAGAGCCGTGTTCATGCTGCCTTTTCTGGCTTACCACATTTTCTGCAATTGGCCCACCCAGAAATGAAAAACATCCTCGAGCCAAAGTGGAGAGGGCAGGAGTAGCGACAAGCGCAGGATCTGCAAAGGCCGCCCGTCGAAATGTTTACAGCATTACCGTTTAATATTGCAAGTTGTTTTATGATCCCTGTTMAGTTCCCCGTTAGCAACTCAGCTGACCTTTAAGAAGCAGTGGGCTCGCAGGAGCCTGGGTCGCTTGATGGAAGCAGTTCAGGTGACAAATGTCTTTCCTGTGCGGAGAAGGTTGTTTGCAGATCAAAGCCCTTTGCATTTAAGTTTACAGTTCGGTTACTCTGCAGGCTCGAGAGCAGATTAAATATCTGCTCGCCTGTGTGCTGCTTGCTGTTCTCCAGATCCTTGGAGCAGTCTGGAGGCTCCTGTAAAAAGCAAAAGGTATTTGGAACGGGCCGAGGGTTTTGCTTGAAGCGACGATGGCTGAAGCTAGAGCCAGCTCTGCAGCATTATCTGTTGAGAGGTGCTGACTGTATTGCTACAGCATGCAACTCAAAGGTGGCTGGAAAAAAAGGGTTGGGAGTCTACAGATCATTACAATGTCCTCAGTGCTAGTCCTCTGTGTCTGTGGAAATCCTGCTTCGGGGAGCCTGTTGAGCCTAACGATGTTTCCGGATCGAAACATGCGACCGTAACCAAAGTACGTTTACGGGAACAGACCCGCCCCGAGCCCGTAGCTGTACGTGCCCTGACTGAGCAGCCAGCTATTTCCCATCACTAAGTTGAAGAGAAGGTAGCAGATTTTGTATCAATGCACTCATAGCTGCAAAGACTTYTTTGTTGTTGTTTTTCCCTTTTTTTTTCCCCTTCACAAGTAACAATTATTTTTTTGTTCTGGGTTGCAAGACAAGGTTTGCTCCTATTGGCCCTTGAAGCCAGTAGCACTGCTGGTGTTTGGTGCCCCTGCAAATCCAAGCACTTAATTTTTATTTTTTTTTTTCCCTTTTTTCCTTGAAGCTGCATGCGTGTGTTCTGGAACATTTAAAGAGCCCCGAGCCCAGGTACTTGTGCGGGAAGCTAAAGCGGAGTGTCAGGGCGTGCTGTGGAGCCGGCACGTCGCAGCTGCCAGGCGAGACTGCGAATCACCCGCTCGCTCTGAAGCTTGTTAGTTTGTCCTCGTCATAACTAACAAACGCCTTTTTTTGTTTGGTTTTTTTTTTTTTTTTCCCCTCCTTTTCCCTCCCCTCTCTCTAATTCTGTTCCGTTACGAAGGGAGGCCCTGGAACCTCCCGAGGGGTCAGCGCCAGGCGCTAGGGCCCGAGGAGCCCGGGCTGCCGCGGCCCGTACGTGTGAGCTGCACTTGGGTTTTGCCCCCCCGCAATCTGTACAGATCTGTGGACTCCACCAGTTCCAAAGTGTCATTTGATAAGGCTGCTGATTTGACATTTAGCAGTAGCCGTATGTGGACAGCGCTATAAATAATGTGCTTCTTGAAGCTGAATGGTGTAGCATTACTATTTGGCTTTTCTCTCTGGTCTTCATTGTGTCATCTGTAGTGAGCTCTAGGTTTTGTTTTGGGAATCTTTTCGACCTCTTGTTTGCATGGGTTCACCCGGTAGCATCGATCCTCGCTTATAGACCCCTGGATACACAGTGAGCACAGCTTACAAGCCACTCAAGAGCCGGACGGGCTTTGCCTGCGCTGCCGAGGAGGCGGCTGAAGGCAGCGCGTGGTGCCCTGGGCGTCCCGCATGCCAGCGGCAAAACTCGCTCCGCTTAATTGCAAGGCGGCTCAAACCACCTCTTAATCCTCGTGGGTTGTAAACCACACACAGCATCCAAAATGGAGCTTCYGAACGCCTTTTGCCCGGGTGTGCATCTTTTTGCTGTGGTCAGTACCTTTGGAGGGAGGTTCCCGTGCCTGGGAATCGCCTGTTCCGGTGGCGAGTCCCCAGGAGCAGCTCCTCAGCTCGCGGCGCTGGCCGCCAGCGAAGCCGACTTGAACTGTTTTCTTTCCCAGATAACGTAGCTGGCTCCCAGTAAAATTTCAGGGGAATTTCAGGGGAATTTCAGCTTCCAGTGAAACTTGAAAAAAGGGGGCCTTGAAAAAAGTTACCCTTCATCTGCAATCGCAAGTTCCCCCTCTGAAATTGATGTTTTTGTGGGCGTTGCCACCGCCAAACGATGAGATGAATGCAGGGAAGTGTAAGTCACCCCTGCAGGAGCCGGGAGCTCCCCGCTGCACAGCCGGCCGCGCTGCCGCCTGCGCCGCCTTCCCGGTGCGGCGCCCGGAGCGGTGCGGGAGCACACAGCCCTGCTGCCCCGCGCGCAGCTCGCTGCCCTGCTCAGCCGGGGCTCTCCCGCAGCCCCCTTGGCTGCCTCGATGATTTTGCCTGCGGTTGTAATTCAGAGAGGAAAATTGGGAGAGCTGCTGGCTTTTCTCCTCCGAAAAATGGATCATTTCCCATGGACTATTGGCATTTTCTGTAAATCAGTTCAACTCCCTTGCAGGAAAATTACTGGTCCTCCAAAGGAGCGATGGCGCTTGCCATCAATGGGAAGATTAGAGAGACGTTTTTTTCCTTGCAAAAGAGAAGCCTCTGCAGTCCTAGGGAGAGAGGAGAAAAGAGAGGCCGTTGAGCCCAAGGCTGCAGCCGCTGMCGCACTTGCTGCCCTGGCTGCCCTTTGGCTCCTCCGCGGGGCCTGGGCGCTGCCAGGGCCTCCTGCCCTGCAGAGCAGCCGCCCGCAGCCCCGCACGTCCAGCCTCCCCTCCGGACTTTATGGAGTAACGTGGAAGCAGAAGAGCGTCCGCCTGGGCCAGGTGTCTGCGGCCGTGAGCTCAAATGGAGGAGAGGGAAGGAGCCRCGAGGCTACAAATCCTTGCGAGCAGCTAAATGGCTATTGCCCACCTAGGCTTTTACTAGTAAGCCCCTAGAGCTGTTCTCCCTGTTCGTGAAGCACAAGACACTCCACTGCAGTTGAGCATTTTGTTTCATTAGGAAGCAGTGCCACCGCTGAAGCGACAAGCGGGCGAGACTGGGGCCCAACGTGCCCTCCTTGGGAGCCGAGACGCGAGGATGTTTAGGCCGATTTCCACTGTGCCTTAAACAGCTTGCGACCATCCTCTTGAGTGGTTCTGTAAAAGTGGTGCTAATGTGTATAACCCTCTAAATTTTTTCTTTTTCCCCCCCCTTTAACATTTGTTTCCCCCTTCACTGTGTCAGTCACAACACGCCGCTCTTGAATCTCCCAGCTGGTCTTGACTTGTTGAATTTATTTTATGCTTTCACTCTTCTTTAATAAATACATTACTTGCAAGCAGTGAATTGAAAACAAAGCGAAAAAAAAAAGCAAAGAAAAAAAAAAGCAAAAAACAAAAACCTACCATTAGTGATTGGACAGTTTCTTACTTTGTGTTACATTTAACTGTTCTTTTGACAGCCCAGTTTTTAAAGCCAGGTTCGTATGGAAATGCTTTCACTCCACTTGCACTGCTTTTGGAAATAGCCTACTGCTTCATCTGTCTGTTTATTTTAGTGCATTCATAACACACACAGTCAGCACAATGTCTCATCTCCACCTAGCCAAAGATTTGGAAAGTGCTCCTTGTCCGCTTTGGAAAATGCAGCCATTTTTTGTCAGCGTCGCCTTTTAAAAGCCGGTTCAATAATCCCTTGTCCGGGCCGGTTAACGTGCTCGTGGGACCACAATTGATGCATTATCCGCCAAATCTGTGAACTTCAGGGCCCTTTTTTTGCATGACGGAATATGCAGTTGTTTTGGCCGTTGCATAAACGGGCTGCAGCAGATATGTTTGCAGGTAAGTTTTGCCTAAGCTTCCCAACCTRTAATTTTTTTCCCCATGATGTTTGTGACTGAACTCCATATCCGTTCATTCTCCTTTCATTGCATACACCGATTTAAGCTTTTATAACCAGACATTTCCTTACTGTTTTATTTATTTATTTATTTATTTCCATGTAGCTTTAATTACGTCTTGGGGGAGAGCCAGTTGCGTGGGAAGGAGCCTTGAAAAACACAGTGAGATGAAATGGATTGGGGAGGAAAAAGTACATTTACRTGGAATAACCTCTCCTTTTCAGAGGAAAAATGAACCCATGCAGCCAGTATCTCGGAGCAAATTGTGTCTTTCGAGTGGATTTGCCAAAGTGCAGCAAGCTGGGTCGTTTCCTTCAGCGTAGGGCGGGTGAAATAAACCGCAGCCACCCTGCCCTGCGTGGCCTGCGCGACCAGCTACGAAACCCTGCAGCGTTTTGAGCTGCCTGGGGCTTTCTAAATAAATAAATAAATAAATAAGTGAATGTGCCACCAAGTGTTGTGGGTTTGCAGCCTGTTGCAAGGAGGGGTATTTCTGCGACAACGAGGGCAGCCAGCGAACACGGCGCGGGTCCGCGTGTGTGTCGCGGGGAAGAGCTGGAGCGCCGAGCTCTGCTCCGAGCCCCGCTCSGCAGCGCCCGCAAGCTGACATTTAATTGCTGCATCAGTACTTTTCCACTTAACTTACTCCAAAAGAGCCTTTTTTTCTCCCTTTAGGAAGATGAGACATTATGCTTATTGTTTTTTCCCCTACATGCACTAATGGTTCCTTGCTGTTAACTTATTGCTAGGCCTGTTTCATTCTAACATCTTAGTATTTTTGTTAGTTTACATGTGAAATGCATCACCCAGTCTGTGCTTGAGCTCATTTTATTTAATTGTTTTTTTTGTTGTTCTTTTTTGTTTTACTAACCTCACTGTTTTTTCAGTTTAATATTGGCTGCATGCTAGTTTATATATATACATATATAAAAAAAAAACCCAATCAAGTCTAGCCTGGATTTTGCTATGATTGTGTTTTGGTTTCTAGTGGTGGGGCAGTCTTGCACTTACAACTTAGTCTTATAAAAGCCTGACACACAAACAAAATGACTAAACACATTGTAGATTTTCTTTCAAAAAAAAAAATCTTAAGTGGTGCTGTCTAGGTGATGGAAATGATTGTATAAATAGCTTGATTTTATGCTTTTTACTGTCAATTTTTATTGGTACACTTTATTTTCTCCCACATTGCTTTTTATTCTGATTATTTTGATTTTATTTTCTTTGAAATGTGATGCACAAAAGTTGCCCAGCACACCATCAGAAAAGTGACCCTCCCCGATCCCCCTTCCCTCCCCGGAAAATTTCTAGCCAGCAATTTTTGACATTTGTCTTTCCCTTTTATTGGGCATATACTGCCTTCTCAGTAGCCTTTTTTTTGCATGCCTATTTATGTAGAAAAATCTCTTGCTCATCACATGTTTAAATGTCAGCGGGAAGGGAAGAATATATTATTGGAATATTTTTGGTTTGTTTTCTCTGTTCTGTCTGTCAGGATAATATTGGACACCGCTTACTCCAGAAACATGGGTGGAAGCTGGGCCAGGGATTGGGCAAGTCACTGCAGGGTAAGTTGAGCAGCTTCCGTCTGCAACGTTGCACCCCGGCTTCAGGCTTTAATAAAATGACCTCTGCTTTTTTGTTTTGTTCCTAGATGAGATGTTTCTTTCCGGTATTGCTTACCCAGGCAAAGGCACTGCTGAGTTCGGCGTCGTGCCCCTCGCGGGCGGCCGCGCGTGGGCAGGGAGCCGAGGGAGCAGCGTCCGGAGCGGCGGCGATGCCCCTGGCCGCGGGTTGTGGTCCCGGYCGCTCCCACAGGGCAGCCCCGTTGTGACGGTGCCTGTGTGCGTTTCCCGGCGGGCTGGGCGGCCGCTGGCAGGCACGAGCGTGGCGCCTGCCTCGCGTGCCTGCAGCGCCCGCTCCTGCCACGCGGCCGGCGCCTCTCCCCGCTCCGGTGCTGCCGTTGCCCGGCTCGCATGGAGCGACGGTGCCACCTCCGCGCGGGCGGCTGGGCTCCCTTCTGCTGGGGTGCCCGTTGTGCAGAGGCCTTGGTGGCCTGGAGGCTGCGCCTGTTGCGCCTTGGTGGCCTGGAGGCAGCCGCGTGTCCCGAGGCCGACGCGGGCTGGGCTGCCCGTCCCTCCTGGTCCGTGCATGGGCTCTGCTCGGGGGCACCTCGGCAAGCAGCTGGAGTTCCAGCGCGCCCCGACGTCCCGTGCGCCGCCCGGCCCCTGTTCCCTGCGCTGGGGTGAGGGCCTGGGCGCTGCAGCGGGGCCGCTGGAGCCGGCTGTGCCCGTGAGCAGGTCTGCTGGGGAGCCCMGTGGTTGCAGGCTCCGTGGGCACGGGAGCTGTGGCGCTGCAGCCCTGCGGCAGGACTGCGTGTTGGTTGAGATGCTGCGTTCCCCCCAACGGGGTTTCYTTACGATCCGCTTGTTAGCGCGGCCTCGTGCGCTCCGTGCGGGGCTGAAGCTCCGGAGCGCTTGTAGCTGCCACTCCTTGGGCTCCTGCTGTGGCACGGCGCTCACCGGGCCTGGCACGCGGTCTGTGAGGGCTCCCCTGTCTCGTGTAACCCCAGCAGGGACTGAAATGTCCCTGGTTGTGGCCTGGCAGAGTGTGCAGAAGGTGCCCAACGCCGTCCATCTCCCTAAGGACCGTGCTGCCCAGTAGGAAGCGGCTCTGGCAGAGGAGGAGAGGAGGGCAGGGCTGTGGGTCCTGTTGGGCCTGGCGAGCCGGGTGCCAAGGGCGCTCCCTGGGAGCCCTGAGCAGCTGGAGCCCCTGGCGCTGGTGACAGTTGTTTGGGGAGTGTTTAATTCCTTATCCAGTGACCTTTTTACAGGAGTCTTGGATCATCCCAAAATCTAAATATAAACTGCCAGGAGGGAAATGTTCACATCTAATTTCAATCTCCTTTGAGGTGTTTGAAGAGCAGCGTCGCTTGYGTGTTGAGCAGGGAAGGGAAGAACAAAACAAGAAGCCCTTGCCCTTTCCGTGCGCTCTCCTGCTGCACCAGGGCCCCAGACATTTCTCATGAGACTGAGGAGCAGAAAGTGCCTCTTCTCCGTGGTGGGAAGTGGTGCTGGGCCTGGCTCTGGGCAGAGCTGTGGCTCCGTGCCGTGGCGGAGKCAGGACCGCTTCGGTGACCTGTGGTTCTGGGTGTTCTCATCCCTGTACCTCGCTGCAAGGAGCCTTCACAGCTTACCCAGTAGGGTTGCACGGGAGCTTTCCTTGGGCTTTCCTCCATAGTTGAGCTGGATTCAGTACGGATCCGGTTGGGTCAGGGTGCCTGTTCCTTGCCAGGTAGCTTTTAACCCTGGCTGGTGATCTGAGATGGGGCTYCCTCTTTAGTCCCAGGAAACGTAGAAGTTGCATTGCGTTGGGTTTGCTGCTCATAAATACTGTGTTTTTTCAGTAGTGCCACTAGGTTGTTGTTCAACCAGGCCCTTTGTGCCACTTGACTCCTGTGGAAACGGCCTCCCTCGTGTTCATCAGCGCTGCGGATGCAGTCCCTGCACGGGGGCTTTGCTCCCTGGTGGGGAGCTGCATTCTGCTAAATCCCCCCCTGGAAACTGCTGCGGCAGGAGGCCGGCAGGCGCCTCCGTACAGGGCTCGGGGGGCAGAGGGATTGGGATGCCGCGCGTGAGACTGGAGCGCGAGGTGCCGGCGGCACCGCGGAGCTGCGGGACGCGGCTCCCAGTCAACTCGGCACGGTTGGTGCTGCGCTCAGCTCTCCTCCCTATGGGCTTTCCCGTTTATTTCCTCCCAAGCTACTTGTAGCGTGTTTGGAAATGGGTGTTTCACTTGCCAGTGAGCGTGCAAAAGGAGCGGGGCTTTGCCGGCCGGGACGCGTGCAGCTCCGGGAGCTCCCCTTTATAAAGATCCCATGTCGGTTCTGCCTTAACGAGCAACAACGCGGTGATTGTAGAGCCTTCCCCCTTGCGCGAGTGCAGGTGTCGTTGGGCATCTGGAGATGTGTGATGTCCTGGAAGGAACCTGATAGCCAAGAGTGTGGGTGGAACGTGCGCAATGCCCGGGCGACCTCCGTGCGGAGCCGTGCCGGGAGGGGCTCGAGGACGGCGAGCAGAGCAGGGACGTTGCCCCGGCTCCAAAGCAGAGCCCGAGGGCTCACTAAAGCCCTGCGTTAAAATATTCTAAAATTCTGCCCTCAAATAGATAYTGCAGATGAAGTTACAGCGTTGCTGTCATAAAAAGCATTGAAGGATTGACACGCAGAAGTAGTAAAATGTCTATTATACTTCTGGAAGTATTTTATATGCTTCTCTCCACGTTTTCCCATCGATTTCAATTTGTCCACAAGTGTTACCAAAAAAAGGTGCCATTTTGTGATGCAGTTTTCCCTCTGGGTCCTTGCAAGTTTAATTTGAGGTTGCTCATATTTAGGAGGGATATCTGCAAGCAGGAAACAAGTAGCTATATCTTAGCCGGGCAGGGTGCAGTGCGGAGAGCGGCTGGAAGCAGAGCCCTGAGCAGGACGAAGGCGCCCGGCGCCGCGGCAGCATTCGGGACACTCACGTTCCACGGCGTCCCGGCTCGGCCGCGCTCCTCGGGCGCGGAATCGGGTGCTTTYGGGGGGCCACGGGGCGCCTGTGCGGCGCAGAGCGCCCCGGGGGAGCAGCCTGGCGGCTGGCAGCAAGGACACGGGCTCGCAGGGCGTTCGGWGGCCGCGGTTCTGGTACTGCAGCTCCTGGGCCGCGGTTGGCCCCTGCTCRGGTGGTTCTGCTGCTTTCCCTGCTGTCGCAGGCACTGTGGAATGAAAGCGCGTGGGAAGCGCCCAAGGAACCAGCTGCTGCCGGTGCAGGTGGCCTCGGAAGGGATGTGGCGAGGGCAGGGATGCCCTGGAAGCCTTCGGGGTTCTTCCATCTCCAGTCTGCTGAGGAGCAGGGCAGCCCTTTCCTCGCGTGTTGCTGCTGAGTGCAGTGGCAGYGCTCGCGGCGCAGTTCAGTAGTTGGGACACGTTGCTTTGTCAGGTGACAAGAAGCAGGCAGTGATGCCTCCGAAAGGAAGAACCTTTGGAGAGGTTTGTGCACAAGTAGCAGTGGCCCTAGCTGCAGCCTTCAGCCTCACACAAGTGTCTTCTGCCCCCTCATTCTGCTCAGGGCTTATCGGCGTGTTCCAGTAATTTTGCTTTCCCTCGCTTACGATTTTAGCCGGCTTTTGGCTGCTTTTCAGCATGGATGCCAGGGAAGGGTGCCTGGGGAGCGGGGGGCTGGCGCGCGGCACGGGGYGGCGTTGGCATCATGGGGCACCCCTTGGAGGGCAGGGAAGCCCATGGCCTCTCCCTGGAGCTCTGCAGCTCCCAGCTGGGCCGAAAGGGCAGAGAGGGGGAAAGCCTCCAGCTGTGGCCAAGAGAAGGATGTGCCTGTTGATCAGGGTGTGCTGGAAGCTCGTGGCGTAAATTGTGCTGGGGCACGGAGCAGGAGCCCCAAGGGCGCATTAGAGACTTCGATTTTATTTTTTAGCCTTTCACGAGCCTGTAAATGATCTTACAAGCTCTATCGAAATACGTTGCAAAGTCGGGGGATCAAACTTGTTAGAAAATGCTAGAATTCAGGTCCCTTCCCGCTGTGTGGTTTTGTCTAAAATGGAAACCATGCCAAGAGAAGCAGCACAAATGGATTTCTGCTCTCTCTCTCTGACTTGCAAATTCTGAGATAAATATAATCATCCCTCTGCCCCCTCGCTGTATTACTACGATGCTGTTCTTATTTGGCGTGTTCCTAACTAGATCTGTGCAGACGAGCGCTGCTTTTCTGTCTTAGTAGGTRTAGAGAGAGAGCAAGAAACGTCCAAGGAGACGTGGGAAGATGCGCAGCCGAGGAGGGGCGTGCGGGTGAGGAAACCGTCCCGTGGGCAAGGCCAGAGGTACCAGGCAGCTGCTGGCACTGCCCRGCCAGGCGCTCCGTGCCCGTCGCCGCTCCCAAGCACTGGCCCGGCCCTGGAGCCCGGCGCCGATGTTCTCGCTCGGCAGCCGCAGCGGGGAGGAGAGTCCAGGCTCCGGAGCCTCGGGAACCTCCTCTGTCACCGTGTGGCTCCAGGCTAGTTATTAATACATTTTTCCCATCCGCTAAGTCTTCTGATCTCACACGGGAAACGGAGTAGATGCTTGTGAAGGCTGGAGGATGTAGAACAATACGGACCCGAGATAAACACCACGAGGAAATGAGGAGGTCTGTGCTTATGCCTGGCTCTAGAAGCTTTGCAGTACGTACAAGAAAACATGGAAGAGAGAGATAAAAATATTTAACAGTATTTTATTCATTAAGTATTGAATAATTTGGAAGTCTGAAGGGGAAAAAAATATTAATGTGGTCTTATCTTCTTATATGTTCATGTGTCCTCCCAGGGAACCTGAATTCTGGCATAGACTAATGATTCCTGTCCCGTTTTTGCAATATAAGTCACTGTAGTGTTGTTTGACTTCAAATAAGCAGTTGCCCCATTAGTCAGTGTTTACAAGCCAGGGCAAGGCGGCGTTGGAAGTGCCCGCTCGCCAGCGCAGCCTTCCCTTCCCCGTGAGAGCGCCGGGAGGCTGGAGACAGCTCCGGCCCCTGCTTGGGCTTCCGAAGCTCGGCCCGCCGTGCGGGTCGGACGCTGCTGGGTGACTGAGCGTGTTCAGTCAGGGCAGCAGCTGCTCCGTCGGTAGCGTGGCTGTGCTGGGACCTGGGGCTGGCCCCCCGTCGGCTTCGCAGCGGGCTTTGTTGTCCGAGGTGTCCGAGTGCGGGAGGATGTGCTGGGGAGCGGGCCAGAGGCAGCGCCGGGCCAGCCCAGGCAGCAGCGGCGCCTCCAGTCACGCCTTTGTGCTCTGCACTCACAGGGATCCCGCGCAGAGATCGGTGCGGCGGGGCCTGCCTTGCGGTTACGGCGTCCCCGCAGCATCCTGGCCGGCACGGCGGGCAGCTCGGCTCTGCCCTCGCGCGCTGCGGGCAGCTCGGCTCTGCCCTCGCGCGCTGCGGGCGGCCAGCACGGCGGGCAGCTCGGCTCTACCCTCGCGCGCTGCAGCGGCCGGCACGGCGGGCAGCTCGGCTCTGCCCTCGCGCGCTCCGGGCGGCCGGCACGGCGGGCAGCTCGGCTCTGCCCGCGCGCGCTCC